GATCTTTAAATTGCTTGAATGAAGGTTCAAATTCTATGGCATCATTTTGAAACGCCAGGTTTATAACAAAACCTTGATTTTTCCCCTGCAATAAATCATATGTTTTTAATATATTTTTTCAAATTTACAAGACATTATATTTATATTGTTAAATTTATACCCCAACGTCAAGTATATATTCCGTGTAATCTTTCATTGATTTTAAACATAATGTCTGAAGATTGTAGGTCATAATGCAGGCTAAACAGTTATAAAAATGTTTCATTTTGGATATTTGCTTCGAGTTTGGAATCTGTTTTCTCTTGCTTCCCTGGAACATGACAAAAATTCTTACTATAAAATAGTAAAAAGACTACTATTAACAGTTCTTATTTCATTCAAATTCTCATATATTTTTTAAAAATATCTGCTTAAGTTACATCATTTTCTCCTGTAATTACGAGTAATTCTCTCGACTATAGATACGAATATAAATTTGATATTTTAAATTAAAGAATATGTGCTGTAGATGTTGATATTTCGGCTAAAATTAATTAAAATACAAACTCAAACTCTAAAGTCAGCTTTAGAATAAGCAACATCACATTTCAGTACTCACATTTTTACGGATAATATTTTAAGATATAAACCTCCTATAGGATTCCCTACTGTGGGTACAACCAGAAAACACTTATTATTACAGATTCGAAAATAACAATCTTGTAGAAAACTATAAGATGTAACTGAAAAATCTTTACAGACAAACATTTTGTAAAATATTTAATGGTTTGAAAACCTGTAAGAAAACCGCCTGTATGGTCGGAATCCACTGCATGGTCAGTACATTGCAGGCGGCGTCTATATGTCTCTTGCACACGAAACTGAAATCCTGTAGCTCGTAGGATTCGTTTGTCATCATGATGTCTTTTGTACTAATCAATCGCAATTCACTGAAATTTAAAAATATGAGCTTCAGCATCACATTTTATCAATTATGAATTTATTAGCGACAGGTCCGCCTTTTGCGTACTTTTATTAGTCCATGCAGTTCAATACCATACTAAATAAAAACTTACTTGAATTGTTTATACCATATCTGCAGAACTTGTGATATACATGGATTGACGCTATGTAAGTTTTTGGTAAGGTATTTATGTGCAAGTGCAAAGCGATTTCTCCAAGCATCATCCTTCTTAGATAGTTCTTGTTTTAATGGAGTATCTTCTTCTTCTAAAGACTCTTCCTGAAAGTATAAGTTTGGTTAATAGATCACAGATATTTTTGATCAGCCGTATAAGTCAGTAATTATATATGTTACCGTATTAGGGTCTTTAAGCACAAAGTCGACAATGGCCTTTTTCATACTCATCATAAAATCTTCACGCATCTCATCAGTGCATGTAAATAATGTCTCCTTCCATTTTTTTAACTTAGGCGAGATTAAATTATGTACTCTGTGAAATATACAAACAAAATTTTTAATTTTACGATAAAAGTTATATTACTACCTGCTATTCATATAACTACAATAGACGTTACTACAACGTCACAGAATCTGAGGGCACATTTTAGCTTTTCAATACCATGGTTGCGAGTTGTTTGTAGAGCCAGGTTGGGTTTTTGTGTTGGAGCAGTATACACACAGCTTATGTGTAATTTGGTTTGTAGTTTGTAAAAGAAGGCATTTTTAGAGAGCTGTGTCACAAAACGAAAATTGGAACCACTCGTATGTTTTACTTTCTGTTCGTCTATCTGTCTAACCCAGCTTATTTACAAATCTGAAACTACAGGATCTGTTGCACTGACATTTAGATTTGTAATATGGGACCCTTAGAGAAAGACGTGTAACGTAAATAAATAAATAGTAAATTTGAGGATAAATTACAGAATATCACCAATATATGTTGTTAGTTGTAATGTTTTAAAACTTGTTTGAGAAAATAGGTAAACAAGTAACCCTTCCTCCCAAAATTCTTTATAAGTTTACGGTTTAAAAATTTTATATTTGTACGATACTGTCTGTTATTATACGGTAATATCGGTACGCGACATGTATAGAACAAATTAAACAATAATGTTATAAGCATCATAGTGTTATTACCGCAATATGATTCTGTTATCCAAAGGAGCAACGTGTATGGTATCAATCCCATAACGAAGGTAGTAATAATAGCGCAGCATATTCTTTTCTTCTCCTGAAGGGATACTATCCCCATCTTCACCTGGCGCGTTTTGACATATCAATCTCATGAGTTTCTCCCGAAATTCCTCTCGCGCTTTTCTCATTGCAGTGAAACTTTGCATTACTAAAACGAAAAGTCAATAAACCACATTCAAGTTAAGATACATAAGTTATTAGCTTTGGCAATACGAGTGGAGTAAATGTTAACGTAATAAATCGCATCTCAATGGAATCTTAACTACTTGCATTCTGCCTTATTGGTACTATCTCTCTGAAATCCAATAGTATTAGTACAATGTTGTCTTCATAAATCAATGGTGTCTAATATATGCTTAAAAAATCCCCCAGCCCAGGTTTATTAGTATAGCATTATGAACGCAAAATTGAGGAAACCTAGTGATCAAAAAACAGTTAATTATCATATCAGTTACCACTGGAAGGTTTTCTTCTAGTTCCCGAAGTGGCTGCTTTAGAGGCTTGTATCTTTGCAGCTTTTGAAGTTGGCGGGGGTAATTTAAGAACCTCCTCTGGCAGCGAAAATAAGGGCCTTGTCCGTATCTTAAAGTCTTCGGGCATAGAGATTTTGGGTAATTTGGGGAGTTTCGCTTCTGAAGAGGACGGCTCCGGATGACTTTTTTTTCGAGTTTGTTTAGGTCTCTGCATTGTTCTGATTCTGAAACTTTTAAATATTCTATAGGTCAGATATTCAAAATTAATAAAAATATGGCATACCCAGGTATTTATTATCAAATACAAGCGAGTACAATCAACGTCACCACAAGTATACAAAACTATCAAATCTCCACTTGATTTCATCCTTAATAAATTGACTGTAGAGTTCCAATTCGACTGTGAAAATTTGACATATTGTGGTTTTAAATAAGTATTTAGGTTTAATGCAGACTATTAGGTGGGAAGCATTCTCTAAATTCACATCCCGGATTAGTGGTTGGTCATTGTATGCTCTGTTACAACGTTTCTCAAAATGTGCTCCACGGTCCCTATGGTTCTGCAAAGCATATGTCAGAAGTCCATGAAAATATTGGTCATATTTCGGCAAATAGGTATAAGTACATAATTCATTATTTATTACTAAAATAACGTTTTTTAGAAAATGGCGTCTCAAACTACATAGATACATTGCGACTCACTGAGCCTTGTATTGAATACTATGTATTAATTTTTTGCGGTTGTAGACTTTCGTTCAAGCGCTGTGCAATCTCAGCCTTACATGTAGGACCCTAGATCGTATAGCGTCTCTTTTTGCTTTAATATTTCAGCCACCTTATTTCCCTTCATGGAAAAATCCAAACAAGCTTTTATTTAACTTTATGTATAGTTATATAGGTAGGTATAGGTATAGTAAGTATGATGTTGCTAGTTAAAGACCGAGTTTTCCCGATTGATTTGAAATTTTACATGAGTATTCTGACATGATTAAATGGAGCTGATCTTACGACGGAACCAGAAGGTAACTATGGACCTATATTATTAAACTAAACAATCCTGTAGAGCTTGGACTCGTTTGATCTGTTTATACAAAATCTATGCAATGAAGCTGATCTGATAATAGAGCCGAGAGGTAGCCATGGGACCTCTGTCACGGAACAACCTCATTGAATACGAGCTTGTTTGATTTGTCTCAACAAATAATTTAGTATATCCTAAGCCTGATGATGGAACTGATAGTTAGCCATGAGAACTTTGTAATTATGTATGACAACCCTGTCGAGTTTGGACTCATTCGATTTGTCTATACGAAATCTATATGGTCCAAAACCTTGTTTTTGAAAAGAAAATTTTAATTTAAAATTATTTATTCCCCTTCTAGTAAAATTTATCTTTATATCTATAAAATAAATAAAGAATTATTTATAACATAAAGATCATTTTACATCTATCCGAATTAAACGAGCCGAAGGAAGCGAAAGAAATAAATTTTAGAATTCTTCGTATGAACCACCGCACATATGTATACTCCAAGTCCTCGGAAATTTATCGTTACCCGTACATCATTAAAAGAAAATTCATTTAATCTGTCTCTTTTGTTAGATGAGATTATCTTAAGCCCTCAATACGTTTTGTTCTCTGGCATGATGATGTCAATGATTATGAGAGTAGAAACCAAACGTTTTTCTGACGGCTGTCGATGCCTCTGTCATTGTCATTGTCATTTTACTAAATAAACGTTCATAGACACGAAAGCTAAATCGCAAATATGAAATTTTTGCAAAAACTTAGAGAAAATAATTAAACATAATAAAGATTATGGATTTCTATGCTTAATATTGGTTAAATAAATTTTTAACACTTAAAAAATTTACTATTTTTTCAATACACATAAGTTCACATAACAGTTTAAACGTTGAAATAATAGACTATAAAGAAGTGGGATTGATAAAATTAGTATTTTTGCACTTAGTTTCGAATAGCTCTACTCTAAATTTAAACAACTTACCAACTAAAGCTTTAACAATTCAACAATTTATCTGTTAATTTAATTTAGTTGGATTCATTTTTAGATTACCATCAGTAGTAAATATTCCCAAAGGTAAGAAGTTAACCTATCGTTCGTTTCTTACGATATGATTTCTAGTCCTTTACATTATAACATAGCTCTTTTTCTAAACTATTAACCTTACAGAAATAAAGATATCAAGCACTTTACACAATTAATATACACAAGTCGTTAATGACAGATTGATCTAATATCGTCATTTGTTTCTATGGAGATCACTTTTGTATGATATTATAATCGATCTTCAAAGAGTTTTCATGGAAAAAGTATTTAGTTAAAAACATTCTTCAACTTTCAAATGAATTGACCAAAGAGAATTTTAGACAATCTATCAATTAGTCTTTGAATTACATAGAAGTTTTTAGAAGATAGGTAATGATACTTTGTAAATATTATAGGTCTAAAATTATAAATGAAGCAAAAGCTAGAAGTGTATTCTAAGGTAAAACTGTAAAAATATACTAAGCTTCTTTTTGGGCAATAATATCTGTCATACTGAGTGTATTTAGTGTTAGTTAACAGTTGGGCCTTTGTTGTCCTTGACTGAGTGAGCAAAGGTGATGTCATAATTTAATGAGCATGGAAGAGCATGTTGTGTTTATCAACTGTGAAATTATAGTGTTGTTTCTGTTTAATCTAGATCTATTAGAACTCGACTTGTAGTGTGTTAAAAATATTCTGTACATACCTATTTTGTTATTTTTCATTCATCATTATTATCCAAATAACATATTTTTATTTCCCTTAACTAAACCATTGTAAAAAAAATATCATTTGTTACAATTCTCTATTAGTTTTAGGCATTTTCATACTAACAATATTCATAATCATTCTTTTTTATATATCATATTTAACACACATTCTTTTCATTACTCACAAATTACTTTAAGAATCAAATATTAACAATTACAGATGATATTCCAGTTAGTACGAAGACTGCACACAGGGCCAGTGTGTCGAGCTGCGGAGTCATCATTATTAGCAAAACTGAGAAAAAAAACAGGATACACTATTGCAAATTGCAAAAAAGCTTTAGAAATGCATAATAATGATACTGATAAGGTAAATCACCCACTAAATTGTATAATTCATGAATTTTTTTTTTCTTAGGTAAATGTTATACATCATGGCACATTAATATCTAGCTAAAATATTGAACTTTATTTATTTCAGGCAGAGACTTGGTTGAATGAGCAAGCTCAAGCTATGGGCTGGGCCAAAGCCACTAAACTCGCTGGTCGGACTGCTCTTCAAGGGCTTGTCGCTGTCAAATTTAATCAAGATCATGGAGCATTAGTAGAACTCAACTGTGAAACAGATTTTGTTGCTAAAAATGAGAAATTCCATCAAATGATTGAAGATGCTGCTAGTGCTTGTTTCAAATTTGCAAATACTCACCTAAAATCCAAGGATCCTGTTACAAAGGTATTACAAAGTATACATATATTTTAACTACATACTACCTCAAAGCAATATTCCTTGTAGAATTGCATAAAAATTTAATGACACTTGATACACTGAAAATACTTGATACTTGTGACAATAATATATAGCCTTGATTGCTATATGTTGAAAATATGAATGAATATGTAAATGCTGATGCAATGACATGCTTAATGTGTAGTATAATCTTTATGAGAACCAACATTCACTTGCATACTGCAAGATTCAGATCATTACAGATAGATTCAGTTAACAGATTAGAAAGTGTTTTTCTTTAAAACTGAAATGCAAAAGTTAACCAGTATCAGTGTTCACCATATTTAAAGAGCTAACAATGAAACTGGTAACCTATTTAGGATTTCTGCAGTAATTATCTTCTGTTAGGGTTAGCCACTGAAAAATACTCATATGTGTTATTAACCGAATAGGTTAAATATGGGAAACCGAAAAAATTTATATGTTTACTTGCTTAAAAATCAAATCAATATTTAATAACTTTTTTATACTTGCATATAACTCAGTCTCCCATATTCATAATGTCCACATGTAAACAAAACAAAGGCATAGAGTATAATTGATGAAAGATTAGAACATATCTATCAGACAACTACAGTGCTGTCCAACAATCTAGCTAGGTATTCTTACCTTATTATTATTTCTAACTATATTATTTACATTCATATAGATTGTCATTGGCATGTCGCTAACATTATAATTCTTATGCTAAAAGGCTACTAAACAATATCACAATATATATATCTCACTTTTACCATATCATGTTGCATCCTAATGTTTAGGAGAAGACGTTGTATCCCCACAAGGGATACGGCCTGAGAATATAAATGGATAGAAGACTTTTTACAATTTCTATCTTACACCGACATACATACTGTACCATACATTTAATTTAGCTTAAAATAATGTAAAAATAATAGTAGTAACTATATAAAAAAGAAAACTCCTTAGTGCATGAGCAGAAATGCCAGAATTAATAGTAGGTTGTCCGTCTTTTTCGATAGGAGCGCATGAATCATTTATTAGATGTCCGTCATCGGGATTGCTGGGTTCATAGGTGAAGTCCAAAACGTGTGTGCGCAAAATTTCCTTTAAGATGAGGGCAGATCGTCTAGGTTTGCGCGTGCGCTCATCGCTAGTGAAGTCCACCTCATATAAACCGAACCGTTGCCTGAAATTAGTATGGAATTATTTTAATTAATATTAAAATAAGGATGGACACATAAGGAAAATACTTCTGCAATAAAGGAAAACATCTCAAGTGCTAGAGATGGGAACTATACCTTTAGCTAAGCAGAGCAGAGCAATCGCTCGATTAGCGAAAAGTCACAAAAGTGGGACAATTGATGGATCAATTTTTTAATTGTTTTTCTTTTAGATAAATATTATTAATATCACCAATAATATTGTATATCGTTTGGCAATTTTCCCTAAGGTCGACTGGGAGAGAATGCTATTAGCATTGAGTCCTCCTTTTGTACCATCCTTATATTGGTCAAATAAGTTCAATAAATAATATGCTATATATCAATAAATATATAGCCTATGTACCCCCCGTATGAATGGAGCTTTTCATAGCTAAAAGAATTTTTAAAATCGATCCAGTACCTTTTTTTAAGCTCTCACAACAATTAGTAAAATAAAGCTACACTTAAGGTTTATATGCCTTAGCACATGGGACACTTATGTCCCATTACTTATAGGAGAGCACCGCTTGCATTGATAAATCAGTACACACTGCTACCACATATAGGCGATTCAGGCGAGCTACAGCAGTACGCTTACAGCACAGTAGGTATCCCTGGTATTAGTATGAGAGACTTCCATATGGGAGAACGCGATTATACCGGCTACAGTTTTAACTTAAAAATAATAATAATACTTATTATTTACAATTTAGTGCGCACAAATAAGTTTGTTTTTAAAAATCTTTTTAATTTAGCCTCATTCTATTCGTTTCTAACATAACATCTGTATTAAAAGTTGTTTTTCCTGTTAATTTTGTATATATTGTTATTCTCATAAAGACGAGTCTAAAGAACCCAAACAAGATGCCTTTGCGTTATTTCATTGCCAAGTTACTAAGACTACCTTCCGACTTCATCATCATATCAACTTCCTGACACCATAATATTACATTGTCATCTGACAAATTTCAAATCTATCTGGCATTGCGGAGTGGGTCAAATTTGAATTCCAAAATTTGCGCACTAATAACTAACATACTAACAAATCAAATTAATTAGAAACTTGTAAAAATAAGTTCTGCAAACAAGCAGTAAACGAACACAATTTGAAAAATGCTTACGTGAAACCACTGGTCCATTCGAAGTTATCCATAAGGCTCCAAGCTGTATACGCTCTGACGTCACAGCCGTCCTCGAGTGCGTCCAACAAGGCACTAAGGTAGCTCCGGTAGTAGGTCACACGAAATTCATCATTCCAGCCAGTTCCAGTTGAACAACCATTTTCAGTTATGTATACTGGAGGATTATCGTATTGCTCTTTGATATACGTCAAAAGGTTGTAGAAGCCCCACGGTACCATCTAAATAGATTTATAGATAATATAATACGTGTCGAAATGATTCATGCGTTTAACATTATTTATTACTTAGACAGCCATAGTCTATCGGATTTTATACATATCCATGTCTACTCGAAATGGAAGCATTATTAATGAGTACGTACATGTCTAAATTCTGAAAGCTTGTTTGTCGAGGTGGATCAATGTTTTTGTTATGAACACTTAATTGATAACACGAATTATCTACAAAATATTATACCTTCACGTAGGAGGTGGGTGTACCACTTAACCATGCTGTAGGTTGATATATGATCACACCGAGATCATCGTCGCGTGAAGGTACTTCGAATACACCGTCCACGGAAGAATTTCTATAAACGTAACCTGTAGTGTAATGATTCAAGCCAAAGTAATCAGATGTTCCCTGTACGTATTTAATTTCTTCATCGGACAATTCGGGAAGCCTTGACCTGAGAAAACCTTGCTCTTCGCTCTTCTTATCAATCTTTTCTTTAAATATTGGATGCCAGCCGCCAGTTTTCGAAAAGATAGGATATGCGTAGTGATCCAACTGAAATACGTTAATTTAACTAATCATTTACTTTATTCAATGAAACGTCAAATGTGTTTTGGTATTTGATTCTTGCACGTACTTATAGGTTAATCAGGAAAAAAATGCTAAATACGTACGTCGAAAAAACGCGCCTCTGCAGCTGCATCTTTATGTTCTTCAGATAAAGGTTCAAACCATGACGCACTAAGACTTATAAACGCTGCACCACCTTGCGATTTTTTAAACTCGTCGTCGTAGATATGATACGCTCTAGCATGCGCAAGCAGAATATTCTTAGAACACATGTAATCACCCACTCCCTTAAAATTCAGGTAAGGGGCCATCGCTAAGTGTTCATAACCGTAGTAACAGATTTGTGTAGGTTCATTAATAGTGACCCAATATTTAACTCGATCTCCAAAAAAGGAGTACGCAACTCTTGAGAAATCGCCAAACCAATCTACTGAGCTCGGGTTAGCCCATCCCCCCAATTCCTGGAATCTTTGAGGTAGATCCCAGTGATAAATGGTGACAACTGGTTCAATATTGTGCTTCAGTAGTTCATCGATCAATTTATTATAATACTCTACGCCAGCTCGATTGATTTGATTGGAGAAACCCGTAGGTAGAATCCGCGGCCAAGATAGAGAGAACCTGTAGAAGTCCACTCCCATATATCTCAACATCTCGACGTCCCTCTCGTACAAGTAATAAGATTTAGCGGTATCATCGCCAGTGGATCCATCCATAATAGGACTTGGATTCAAATGAACTTGATAGTCCCACATGCTTAATCCCTTTCCTGAAATATAAATGGTATGTGCCAGTGACGTAATTTCGAGATATCTTAATATAATAGAAAATTTCAGTTTCACGAATACATATTTCTGTAATTAATCAAGTAATTTAGTTATTATTTACTTTTATTACAACATAATGTGATACGGTTGAAGTGGTGATGATTTCTGTCCCTGTTTCTTGCATACAACGCTTAGGTAGGTACTAAACTATTACATCACAGTCTAATAATCTATCCTTGTCTAATGGAGATTATTAACTTTAATATCTTAATAAATTATTAAAATACGTATATTTTATGAATTATTGTTACAAAGTTCGATGAGATGAAAAAACATTAATATTTCCTAATTAGCGTCTTAGCTTACTAACGCCCTCTCCCAGGTCCAGGTCTTTTTGAAAAGATACATAGGAAGACCTGTTATAGGTTGTAAGTTAAGCGATTTAAACTTAACAGGCTTTTTTGTTAAAATACCATCGACATTCCAAGCTCCTTCAATCTGGTAAGCAGATGTGGCAGTTCCAAAGAGGAAACCGTCGGGGAATCTCCTGACTGTGTTCCTGTGTGAGTTAACTTTTAAAACACCCTCCGATAGACTGGCGCAGATGAAAGTAGATCTATAAAATTTAAAGACCTCATTAATTAGGTAGGTACTATTTTATATACATAAATTAATCTTGTTTAAGATTTAATTTTTATATAACATAAAATTTATAATACCATTATTCGTACACATCTTTCCTTAAGTACCTTTTTACATATCGCTTATCAAATAAAAAAATGATAACATAATTTGTTAAAACAAAACTGTCTTTTTAAGGGTATAGTTTAATTATTCAGTTGTGACATTTTTACAAAATTTTCATAATTAAAAAAAAATAACGACATTTTACTTTTACTTAAAGCGAATATCGTGGTTTAATAAACCGATAGTTACGGTTCAATATTGAGAAAAAAATATATCTAAATATATATTTCAGTTTCCATTAACTTAACATATCTTTTTGTTTATTAAAGGCTTGGAACAAATATTTCTAAAAATAAAACGTACCGAAGGACATAAATTAATCTAATTTCATTACATATTGTTATTAATATTATCTATATTTCATTTCAAAAAGTAAGATTTTCTAAGAAATTAAACACACCCCATCGATTCTGTCTCTTAACAATAAAAAAGCTGTCGTTAAAAATAAATATTAACTTACATGAAATATGCTTGCCAACCCATGCTTGCCAATCCTAGTAGAATTACACTAAGCAATGACTAATCTGGTTTAATATATTATTTATTTATTCAACGTCTCACAAACACTATTAAATATGATCGTTTATGTCGGTTCATTGTCTAAACGATAAATACATAAGGCAACGCTTAAATAAAGTAACGATATCTTTTTTAAATTACAACAACAATTGTAATTAAGAAAATATATATAAAAAATATAATTTCAAATTCAGTTTATAACTTGTAGTCGTTTATAGTTGTTCGCTTTAAAGTTTTTGTATATTTTTATTCAATAACAAATATGGAAATTGACATATTTGCAGTAGCAGCAGCGAGTCAAAGTTAGTGAGTTGAATTTATTTGCGTTGCCATATCAATCGGCTTATGAAGATTACGACAGTTTTATTTTATCTCAATGCAATCGGTTCACGATTGTATTAATGACGTGTATTTAACCTAATAGATCTTAATAAAAATTGCTGCTGAATTAGGTATTTTGAGTTCGTACAAGAAATCATCAGAAACAATGAAGGAAAGTACTTCTCCTATCCTTGACGCCAGATGGTTGGCTGTATATTAATGTTTTTTCAGTTCATTTGTTAATTATAAGTATTTTCTTATAAAATGAGTCGAGTTAGTTAGCTTAAACGGCTTTGGTAAGATTAGTAGTAATCGCTAAGATTATTAGACTTGTAGCTATATCAAAATTATTATTTAATACCGTGAATTAATGGGCCGTTGATTATATTTAATACTGACACCTATATTTGAATTAATAATCTAAAAATATTACTTTGCGGCTTCTGTCGAAATTGAATTTTCAGACGGTCTTCAGCAATTGGCTTCTTGACTGTTTCAACCAATATTTATATTATTTGTTCTATGTCGGTACAGTTGTTTCATTAGTTTTAAGCTCAACAATATTTTGCACTGTATAGTAGGCGTTCTAATATTATATATACATCGAATGTCAAACTATCTACATATATAGTGAAGGTCATATCAAAATTCTACTATGTCAAACACCATCAATATACATATTTATGTCTATTGTTCTTAGAATATACATATAGAAATTTCAGAATATGTCACTTATAAATTTCAACTGATGTACACATGGCCAATATTGTAATGTTAAAAATACCAGTTATATAAGAATAAAAGATTATACATAAGGAATTTTTAAATATATTTTTTCACGTGGCATATTCTTAATATTTTAATGGCAGTTTATTATATATTTTAATAGTCATACAATAAATATATTTACTATAGCCAGTTAGCTTAATCTTAGGTGTACGTAATTTATTCTTTCTGGAATCGCGAGCGTCTTTTTTTTCTTTGTCCGTGTGTGACAAAATATATAGGGTAATGTTTTACAAACAGGAACATTTCAGCTATATATGGTGCTATAGAGCTATATACGCACTTTTTTTGAGCTCCAAATGCTCTTTCGACATCAACGCTATTTCAACTATGTACTACATATGCTCTATATAATCAAAGGCCTTCGACATATCTAGAAACGGCTACATTATGTATTTTATCATTTATGCTTTCCGTTACCATTATAATTAGATTAATATAAGCTAATGTAGTTGATTTTCCTTTCTGAAAACCGAACTGCTCATTTGCTATAACTTTAGCTGCTCAATAAAAGACAAAATTCTCTTGGCCTATTCAAATTTTTTCGCCAATACCGGGATTAGAGAGATAAGTCTGTAAATAATTATATCACTCATCTTCTTTTTTAAATAGTTGCTTGACTACTGAATAGCCTTTCAGGGAATATGCTATTTAGCAAAGATAAATTAATTATATGAGATAAGGAAATTATAATTTTATCGTAGCATAATTTTAAAGCGTCACTGTAAATGTTATCATCACCAAAATTTATTTTTTTAAACTTCGTATAGTAAGGCTTACTTCTTCCGGAGTTAGGACGAGATAAATGCTATTTCTAATTATAAAATTATCAACTATTGCTACAATTATTTATCCATATCACATTACTATTACTAATATCAATAAAGAATTCATTGAAAGCTGTCGTTATCTCATGTAAGTCATAACGGTTAATGTTTTGGAAAAAATATGATTATAAAACTTTAATATAATCATATTAAACCACTATCAAAAGTATTTTTCCCAGATAAAAAAGTGTCATTAATGGAAGAAAATGACATACTTTCATTAATTTATTTAAATTATCCCGCGAATATAACCAGTCACGTTACATTTCGAGTCGTAACGTCACATTTCAATAAACATTTACGTTTAGTTCATTGTAATTTGACGTCACACAATGTTCCGTCATCATCATCGTCCGTAAGACGCCCACTGCTGAGTATAGATCTCCAACATAGATCTCATATCATAGATGTTCCGTCATAGCCCCCCCTTATTACGGTTCTTGTAATCCACAGATTATAAAACGCAAGTTAATTTAATTAAATGAAGTATAGTAAAAATAATTGTAGTTTTGCATGACTATTTCATTCAATTGAAGAAGCCAGAGGGAAGGCGCAGTTGTTGACGTTCTGCGACGCGAAACATAAATAACTTCTGCAAGTGCTTGTTGTAGGTTAGATGACCAAAATATTATAATCTGAGCTCCTTTATGCTTTGGAAAGGACGTTAAGTTATTGTTCGTGGCTGCATCTACAGTCATTAACACCAAATAATACGCATAGCCTTACGTGATGGGTTCTCCCCATTCAATTCTTTGGAAACATACTAACGAAGGTCTCCAAATGAGTTTATTTTTCAAATGATTTAAATGCACATTGAACTTACGTGTCTTTTTTATTACATTTTACTGAAAACATCGTCGTGTAAATTAGAAAAATTTATCGAATCAAATACGAATAGCCGATACATGTACTTTATACTGGCAACTCTGCAATACAATATCAAAGTTTAATAGTGCCTTGCGGGGTTGAATTCGACGAGCTCCTTGCTAGATCCCGGTTCCTTTTCTCCACGCTGAAGGGAAAAAATTGGGTACCCAGGGATAGGCAGATAACTTTTGGGGCGGTAATTTTGAATTAAAATTTAATGTAATCGAATGTGTGTTTATTTTACGCACTTTTTTAATGCAAACAAATTAGAAAATAATTTATTTATCTCTTTTGAATTTAAATCTAATTTAATTGAAAGTATACTTATTTTTCGAACTTTTTATTGCTTTTTATCAAATCAAACAAGAGAATAAAAAAATTTCAAGTACTACTATAAACAGAGTAAATTTCCTAATATCGATCATATAACTATCAGTCAGTTGCACAAACACCCATTAAAATTGTCGTCGGTTTAAAGCGACATTTAGAGCTAAAGGAGTCATTAAACCTTAATGGACGTTTGTGCAACTGACCGTAAAACACTTAGCACAACTCTTCAAATTTCTTTTAATCAAAGCTGAAAAGCTGCATTTCCATGCGGTTACAAAAAAGCACATCTAAGTCATCTTTATTGTTTCAGATGGAATTGGACAGTGAACAACTAAGCAATCTATCTACTGAAGGCGGTAAAAAATTATCTGAAACGCTGGCGTTATTTATAGGATCTGTCGGTGAAAATGCTGTACTTCGGCGTGCCGAGTGCTGGAAAGCCAATGGCAAAGATGTAAAGATAGCCGGGTACACGCATCCCGCCCCAGCCGCCCCAGGGCAATACTCCGCCGGAAAGTATGGCGCTCTACTCGCGTACAGGCAGACTGGAGATAACCAAGATATCGGCCGTCAGCTTTGCCAACATATCGTCGGCTGCGCTCCAAGGAAAATCGGCAACAAAGATCACGACAAACCGGCCAAGAATGCGGACGATGAAACATGTCTCATTTACCAAGAATATCTGTTGGACCCTTCCTATACTGTAGAAGAATTGCTACAGCAAAATAACGTGGAAGTTCTCGACTACGTACGATTCTCATGCGGCGAAGCTGTTGAAGCGAACATGCCCGGCGTCGAGAAGCAATCGTTAGATACTGTACAAACTTTGCAGTAGAAGCATCCCGCCTATATAGTAGCCTGTTGGAACCTTTTAAAAGTCATCTTTTATCTCATATTCAAATTTATTTTGCATTTTAAAGTAATAAAGACTATGTTATTTATAAGGTTTTTATTAATTCGGAGTAAATACAATACCGTACTAGAATAACGTATCTCAGTTTTTACGGGGATCGGCTACGATCACATTCTTTGCTTTCGCTTTACCTTTCCATAAAAACATTCTACAGTCTTTCTTCCAGAACATTGCAATTTCAGTAGGTTCAAAACAGTAGCCATGGTGATTTAGTACTTCTGGGGAAACTACATGTAGAGCCAATGTAGTTTGTTCTCTAGTTCTGAATGGGCCGGTAGTAGCTGGTTTCAGTAAACACCCGCAAGGGCACACGGCTGCAATTTTCGGAGCCGAAACCACGTTAACACGATTACATAGATTTATTCTTTGCAAATTATTACATAATCTCAATTCTTCCACGGCTCCAGTAAAGGATTGTGTTGCTCGCAAAGCTAAAGGCCTTGCATTTTGATTTTCGGTATTATTAGTAAAGCCAACGGTTGATAACGACTTTTTCGTGATGCTTGGGCTGTTGTTTGGGCTCCTTAGATCACATTCACTTTCTCTATCTGAATTATTATCTGTATACATGATTAGATCTTAGATAATTTAAATAATTTATTTGTATAAAACACAATAATGAACTGACAACTTCATTTGTTTCCCGCGTCAGTAATAAATCAAAGACTACCCATTTCAAAAAAACTAAGACTAAAGGACTAATGGCTATGTTCGCGTCTGATTTTATTCTTTTTGAACGTATTCAACAATGAAGGTTTTGTAAGCTTGGAAGACAAAATTGTTGCCTTTTTTTAACTAACCTCTTTAGACCTCTTAAAAAAAGATAGACAATCATTGTTCTTCGTTTGGATCATAGGATCATCTTCCAACTTTTTAGATAACTTTCTGATTTTGTTCGAATCCTACTTCGAACAAAACCAAATATCCAAACAATGCATGTCCTAACTTTAAGCGTTGTCCAGAGTCGTTAGGTGCCCCCTTATCATTGGTGAAACACATATTCACCTTTGACAATGCCCAAATATTTAAGAGCCAAGTTTGGGCGACTCCTAAGTTTAGTGATAACAGGAATTAGTTATTAGACGATTGTCCTCCCATTTTGACTTCATATTATATCATTATCATCAGTCGCAAGACGAACGAAAGAAACTTTATTTGAACCCTTATTTTTATCGGTAAAATGGACAAATAAATACTGTTTTTTGTATGGAAGGATATTTCTTTTACATACATATTTTGGTTCAAATTTGAAAGATAACTTTAACAAATTTTTTTATTAATAAACTAATGACTTAAAATATAATCGATTTGAAAAAGAAACAAAAAAGTGCATCAATAAAAAACTAAAAAACAAATCAATATGTTTAACTAAAAAGACTAAACAAGGAAAATTAAACAAAACTGAGTTTATTTAAAACATGTACGATATTATTACAAAATCGGTGAAGGTATAAGCAGAGATAGGTGGAGTAGTGTGATAGGCCGTATAGACAGACTCACGCCGAGAAATCTTATAGGAGAAACAAAAAGAGGGCGAAAAACATATCACATTCACGAGTATCGGATGTTCTCGGGGCTTCTCGGCGTGAGTCAGTCCGGGATATGACATGTTGTTAATGAAGAGTGAAGTGTGGGTAGACAACCATACTATAGGCGCAGGTGATGTGCTGATAAAGGGATCCTAGGACCGACTATTAAAACAATTTTTTTTTATTAGTAGATTAGAAGGAAATAAGACTACAGGTGAAAATTATATAGATACGGAAAGTTTATTTGAAAATAAGATCGAAGTTTTAGAATTCATGTAAATATTTTATTTTTAGAAATTAAAGTTTATAAAATTAGTAAACGCAAAAAGGATGCGGGTATAATCTCTGAATCCCTTTCAAGAACTATTCAGAAGAACAGGGGGCCAATTCTACTAAATAAATTTTATTTAAATCGAATCGAAAACGGAACGAAACCGAACGAAACTACAACTTTTAGTGGTTTTCCTATTCTACTCGGTGTCAAAATGGCGTCAAACGATACAGTTCCGGTTCTATTTTAGTTTAGCTAACTATCGATCAACAGAAACTGTAAACGGTATTCTACTCGCTCAATCGAACATAGAACTATACAGATGTAGTTATGCAAACCGGAACCAACCCACAAATCTGTCAAAATCGAATTATGTGCAGAGAAGCCTAAAAGTGTTGCAATTAAACTCAAATGTTGTAAATTCACAAAATTTCTTGATAAATAAATAAAATAAAATATATTCTACAAACAATTATTACTAAAAACAAGAAACCCATTTTTCTCAAAACTGACATCATGTGGCTGGTTTGCATAACTACGTCCATATACTTGGTCGATCGTCGGCCCTTATTCCACTAAAATTTTGACACTTCGTTGGATCGAAACGCTACTGAAACGTTACTAAATCCGAACGTTTCATCTGTCAAAATTAACGATTTCTAAAAAGTTGCTAATTTCTACTTTTTGACGATCGATAGTTAGCGTTTAATGATAGATGTGAAACAATTTATATTATTTAAAATTTTAAGAGGTGCAATTAGGTACCCCCAATTGCTGAGTGAAATAAAATGCCTTGATCCATCTTCAGAATTGATAATTAAAAACATTTTGCCCTACAAAAGTAACTTCGGCAAACATAGGTATTTGTAGTGTTTGTATAGAAGAAGTTTTATCTCGGTACATTGGAGAGCTGCGAAACGTGTTCATCGGTACCTGAAGGCTATAAAAAATAGGAAACTGACCTATAACAATAGTGGTGATCTAATCGGATTTGCTGATGCCGATCATGGTGGTAATCTGGTGGACAGACGATCCTATACAGGATATGTTTTCCAAATGTGTGGTTCAGCAGTGTCATGGGAATCACGTAAACAGAGAACCATTGCAACATCAACAACAGAAGCTGAGTACATGGCTCTAAGTGAAGCCTGTAAGGAAGCCATCTACATTCGCTCATTACTAAGCGACATCTTTTGCTTTTCGTCACCCATCACCATTAATTGTGACAATCAAAGTGCCATCAAATTAACAAAAAACAACACGCATCACGCCCGCACAAAACATATTGATATTAGACATCATTTTGTTTGTGAGTCTTCCACTAAACAAGTCAATGTGTCATTCATACCATCAGCTCACCAAACAGCAGACATTCTCACAAAGCCACTGCCTAAGCTGAGACACTATATGTGCCTAACTAATTTAGGATTAGTTTAGTGTTATATGTTTTGTGTTATTAGGTTAATTAGGTTAGGGCATCATGTTAAGGTACTTTTGATATTATAGTATTTTTGTACATACAGTGTGTTTATATAAAGGGTGTACATAAGTGTCCTGATTACGGGGAGGTGTAGATAAAACCTTTTTCTATATTAATCAGACACTGGCATCTTTTCGTATACCTTTTTGAATTAGTATTTTATACACTGTTTTTTGTTTTTATGTCACTCTCTTCTTTACTCTCATCTGACTTTTATGTATTTACAACGTGAAATATATTAAATACTCCAATCCACTGTGACTTTTAATTCCTACATTTTAAGAGTTTGTGAGTGAGTTATCAATAGACTGTAAAGAACATAATAAGTTGTGTAAATCCATTGATATGTTTGCTTTATCATTAATTATTTATAAAAATACCTTATATTAAGGTACCAAAAAATTTTAATCTTTAACTGTCTAGCACTTCAAGCATATAAAATTTTCTATCCAATATTATTTATTTCACAAAGATACAAGGATACTTTCAATGAGCACCCTGACGTCTGAAGTAAATATACAAAATCTGGGTATCAAACACCAGATTCCTCATCTACCTCATGAGAACATAGCAATCCATGTGATATAAATTATGTAAAATGATTAGAAAAAAAATGAAATCGAAAACTATGGAGCTAGATAAACAAGTGTGATAGTGTTTAATAAACTTTTTATGTACACCATTTCATCTATTTGTTATAGATAGTTCTGTAATTTTGTGGTTGCTTATTGATATGTAAAAATGTTGGCAGACTTTAAAAATAAAATAAATTATATCTTGATTATTAATCTTAAATTATTATTTTTTATTAAAACTTACATTTTATAGATAAATTAATAGGTTTTCATTCCTCTATGAATTTGAAATGTTGAATTCATATTATGTAGATTCTTAACATAAATAAGGTCCACCTAGTTGAGGCATGTAATGTAAATTAAAATTGAAAAATTATATTTCTGTTAAAACTTTACATAATTATAAACAATCATTGTAAATAGGAACATCGTAAAAATCATTATTAGATTGTAGGGGCTTTTGGCTTTAAGTAAACTTATCTATGATTATAAAAACATGAATTTTTGAATATTTTGTATTGAAAAAAGTAAACTATTGTAGTATTTTTACAGGAAAACTTAAAAGTGTGTATTTACAAGCATGTGTGGAATTCCAATAAAAATGGCACTGAAAAAGTCCTTGTTTACAAATTAATTAATTTATCATTATTTTTTCTGATCACTTTTACATTTGCAATACTATATCGATATTTATCTTAAAGGAAAATAATTAAAAAACCCACTTCAAGCAATTAGTGCTTGAGGTGGGATTTAAACCCATAAACACTCACAGTCTGGGCGTCTGCTAAAACCAATTTAACTACCAGATAACCAGCAGGTTTTGTGAATTTAAGAATTACTTGCATTACTAGTGAGCGTATGCTCATTTATGTTTAGGAAGTTCACCAAAACTATATTAATAATACCATTATAGAGAATAGAATAGAAAATTCTTTATTGTTAACATTACACAAGTTATATAGGTATACAAATTTAAAACAGTTTAACAAAATAATGTAACAATTGGCGGCCTTATCGCTTAAAGTGATTTCTTCCAGGCAATCATGGGATGGAGAGAGAGAGATAACAATTTATGAAGACAGGGGTGTAAATTTTATCAATAACATTAAAAAGAAAATATGATCAAATAATAATCTTAATTAAAAAATTATAATTATGAATTTTTTTTTTCTGACATAAGTATTACTCACTTTTTTATTTGGAGATTATAATATTATAAAGGATTATTACATCATATCATCATCATGTTTAAAGGATTGTTAAACAGGTAAATATACTGTTTATAAGATTTTATTCTGAATTATTTTTAATTAAAAAAAATTACATAAAATTGAGCTTAGCTGCAGCTCAGTTTTATGTAACATTTGAAATAACATGAGGCTTTCTGTAACCATATATTAAGCTGCGTTCAAGATAAATGTTCAGCCTAATTAATATTACCTACATGAAAAATACATATTCTACTGTTTTCGACACAAAGTTAAAACCAACCACCAATTTTAACTCAAAGAAAACTGTCATACGTTATGATGGGTTACAATTTAGAACAGAAAAAATAAGCCTGTGAATCAGGAGCTCTTGTTCAATTTAGCAGGAATTTATATGTGTAAGTTCTTTTATATCAGTTGAAACTTATACTTAATTTGCTCATAGTCAGCATGGATGAGAGCTGCGAGCAGATCTATGCAACTACAAGAATTTAATTTGTATACAAC